CTTTATAGACAATGTGTAATCAATTATAGGTATCACTGATGATGCCTTTATAGACAATGTTTTATCAATTATAGGTATCACTGATGATGCCTTTATAGACAATGTGTAATCAATTATAGGTATCACTGATGATGCCTTTATAGACAATGTTTTATCAATTATAGGTATCACTGATGATGCCTTTATAGACAATGTGTAATCAATTATAGGTATCACTGATGATGCCTTTATAGACAATGTTTTATCAATTATAGGTATCGTTGATGATGGCTTTATAGACAATGTTTAATTAATTATAGATATCACTGATGATGCCTTTATAGACAATGTGTAATCAATTATAGGTTTCACTGATGATGCCTTTATAGACAATGTATAATCAATTAAAGGTATCACTGATGATGCCTTTATAGAAAATGTGTAATCAATTATAGGTTTCACTGATGATAGCTTTATAGACAATGTATAATCAATTATAGGTATCACTTATGATGCCTTTATAGACAATGTTTTATCAATTATAGGTATCGTTGATGATGGATTTATAGACAATGTTTAATTAATTATAGATATCACTGATGATGCCTTTATAGACAATGTGTAATCAATTATAGGTTTCACTGATGATGGCTTTATAGACAATGTATAATCAATTATAGGTATCACTGATGATGCCTTTATAGACAATGTTTTATCAATTATAGATATCACTGATGATGCCTTTATAGATAATGTTTTATAAATTATAGGTATCACTGATGATGCCTTTATAGACAATGTGTAATCAATAATAGATACCACTGATGATGCCTTTATAAACAATGTGTTACCAATTATAGGTATCGCTGACGATGCCTTTATAGACAATGTGTAATCAGTTATAGGTATCACTGATGATGGCTTTATAAACAATGTGTAATCAATTATAGGTATCACTGATGATGCCTTTATAGACAATGTTGATGTCTTTATAGACAATGTTTAATCAATTATATATAACACTGGTGATGCCTTTATAAACAATGCCTTATCAATTATAGGTGTCACTGATGATGCCTCCATAGACAATGTGTTTTCAATTATAGGTATCCCTGATGATGCCTTTATACACAATGTGTAATCAATTATATATATCACTGATGATGCCTTTATAGACAATGTGTAATCAATTATATATATCACTGATGATGCCTTTATAAACAATGTGTTATCAATTATAGGTATCGCTGATGATGCCTTTATAGACAATGTGTAATCAATTATAGGTATCACTGATGATGCCTTTATAGACAATGTTTTATAAATTATAGGTATCACTGATGATGCCTTTATAGACAATGTTGATGTCTTTATAGACCATGTGTATCTTTCAGCAACCACATTGAATGAATAAGGGATATGTTTCTTTTTGGGATTGGATTGGAGGTGGTACATTTAGCTAATCTATTTTAAAAAGGAAAATCAGTTAATGTTTTGTTGTTTGTTCCATGTTCTGCCTTGTTTTTAATAACAATGAATCTGTGTTTAAACAAAGGGATGAAAACGAGAGAACTGCTATTTTGTAAAGAGAATATTTGCTGTGGTATAGCGTGCGTTTGAGATGCAATCGTATTGTGATTTGAATGGCGATATAAAAAATAACAAACAGGTACTTGAACCTGCACATCAGTTTTTACACAATACATAACGTTTATACATTTTCCAAACTTACAAACGCAGTAAACTCACCTGTTCATACAGTATTGTAAGATTAGTACCTGCGAGGTATTATGATCACGGCATTTTTTTTCTATGACATGTACATTTCTTTCCTGACCCATTCTTTTTGCCATCTGTCAAATGTATGAGAGTATCGTATGCAATGAGGCCAATCTTCCCCACCACATTATTTTTAATGCCAAAGCGTAAAGGAGACATTCTTTTGTCGATAAATACAGCTTGAAAAAAAAAGCGTTTTGTTTGAGGATTTTCCAATATTTTTTAATTAGAAAAAAGAATGAAAAACAATTAACCATCAAGCCAAACAGATGAATTAGACTACACACAAAATTAATAACAGATTCCATTAGAAATAAATAAATACAAATAAACATAATAATAAATTGATTGAATTACATTAATCAGTTAAAGTTGAAACATTAAAAATTAATAAAAAAAGGTCAATTCAGAAAATGTTATTCTGATAAGTTATTGTAATAGGTAAACTTTGTACTTGAAATAACCAGCAATGCATTTGGCTGTGCAGGCCACAGTGAAGTATGTCTTTTTTAGTGTTTGCTGTACCAAAACAAGTGACAGCTAATTTAAGTATATACCTCTGGCAGGTGACACATGACAGCCACAGGTACCAGCCTCGTCTGTCAATATACCTATAATATATATTATAGGTACATTGTCAGACGAGGCTGGTACCCGTGTGACGGCTAATTCAATACACCTATAATATCTATTATAGGTGTATTTTTAGTGTTTGCTGTACTAAAACAAGTGACAGCTAATTTAAGTATATGCCTCTGGCAGGTGACGCTTGACAGCCACAGGTACCCGCCTCGTCTGTCAATGTATCTATAATATTTATTATAGGTGTATTTTTAGTGTTTGCTGTACAAAAACAAGTGACAGCTAATTTAAGGATATACCTCTGGCAGGTGACGCTTGACAGCCACAGGTACCCGCCTCGTCTGTCAATGTACCAATAAAATTTATTATAGGTGTATTGACTTAGCCGTCACATAGGTACCAGATTCGTCTGTCAATATACCTATAATATTTATTATAGGTGTATTGACTTAGCCGTCACATAGGTACCAGATTCGTCTGTCAATATACCTATAATATTTATTATAGGTGTATTGCCTTAGCCGTCACACAGGTCCCAGCCTCGTCTGTCAATGTACCAATAATATTTATTATAGGGGTATTGACTTAGCCGTCACACAGGTACCAGCCTCGTCTGTCAATGTACCAATAATATTTATTATAGGTGTATTGACTTAGCCGTCACACACAGGTACCAGCCTCGTCTGTCAATATACCTATAATATATATTATAGGGGTATTGACTTAGCCGTCACACAGGTACCAGCCTCGTCTGTAAATGTACCTATAATATTTATTATAGGTGTATTGACTTAGCCGTCACATAGGTACCAGATTCGTCTGTCAATATACCTATAATATATATTATAGGTGTATTGACTTAGCCGTCACACTGGTACCAGCCTCGTCTGTCAATGTACCTATAATATATATTATAGGTGTATTGACTTAGCCGTCACATAGGAACCAGATTCGTCTGTCAATATACCTATGATATATATTATAGGTGTATTGACTTAGCCGTCACATAGGAACCAGATTCGTCTGTCAATATACCTATGATATATATTATAGGTGTATTGACTTAGCCGTCACATAGGAACCAGATTCGTCTGTCAATATACCTATGATATATATTATAGGTGTATTGACTTAGCCGTCACATAGGTACCAGCCTCGTCTGTCAATTTACCAATAATATATATTATAGGTGTATTGACTTAGCCGTCACATAGGTACCAGCCTCGTCTGTCAATGTACCAATAATATATATTATAGGTGTATTGACTTAGCTGTCACACACAGGTACCAGCCTCGTCTGTCAATAACCTACATTGTATAATATATATTATAGGTATATTGACAGACGAGACTGATACCTGTGTGACAGCTAAGTATACCTCTGGCAGTTGAAAGTTGTTGAAAAAAATACTTTTTGGAATTTCTTAAAACACAAGTTATATGTACATGTACATGTTAACGTGCTAGCTTTTTGTTTCCTTCTACTTCTAAATGGTATTGACCAACTTCAACAAGTTGTAGATAATGTCATGAGGGAGAAAGATATTTAGTTGGTTTAAACAATATTTATTACTTAAATTCATTTACAATACAATGCAATACAATCACATAAATTGAAAGGATCTAGCGACAAGATATAAAATCTTACATTAGGCCATCTCCTTTATTATATTTAGTTGATTCCAAGAAAGCCAAAATTATATATACATCTATAAAGATTCAATTTTGAGGGTACAGTGACAGGAGAGCAGATTTAAAAGATTCAGTAGTAGAACAGGAGGATATGGTATCTGGTGGAACTTATTCCACTCAGATATTGATCATTTAATGTAAATAGTACATGCATGTCTATGACAGTCATCAGTAATTAGACTAATTTCGACCTCTTCTTCCAATAAGAGCACAACATGTTGGTTGCTTTTAACGACGTGACACTGATCATCATGACACAAGCTTAAGGATATATCACAGAATCATCAATTGCCAAACAAATAAACATCATCATACGTCTGTATCCGTATACAGCACTCTGATCGTTAATGAACATGTATCACAACACACGATGTCCAACCTCAAGGTTATATCTGACTCAAATAAAATATGATTTCCTCCACATCTACACATGTAAAAGAAAGTGCTCTCCTCTTCCGATCCTTCCGACTCCCCTTGCACAAAATCGCCAATCTCCACTTCATCCTGAATTGGCCAATCCTGAGCCAAGCAACGTTGAGTCCATGCTGCATCATATTTTTGTCTCAAATTGTTATCGCTTAGGATTTTCCACGCGTGATTTACTCGCACAAACATCGCTGTTGATGTTTCTTTCTCCTCCTCGCTTTGCTTATCAGGGTGGAATCTCAAGGCGAGTCTCTGATATGACTTTTTCAGATCTTCTTGTTTAGCACATTTTTGGCATTCCAATATGTTGTACAGATCTTCCATAATTTTCAACACTTTCAGAGTGATATTTTTGGGATATCTCGCTACTTTTAAGCCTTCAAAAACAGCATTATTGCGAAACGTGATCGTGTGTAACACCATCGCATCACGTTTGTTTAATGGGCGCGGCCATTTTGAAAAGAAAGAAACAGACCAAAGCTTATGCTGTTTGTTTCAAAATCAATATTATGCGTATACTATATTTCAAAGAGCCAGTAATAATAAATTAAGATAAGATAGATGACATTTTCGTTAATATGGTATATTGATTGCCGTCTTATAAAACTAAGAACCTTCAAATATCACATCCGGTTCTTATCGGGTAGTTTTTTCTGAGTTGTATTCACTTCCGTTTATATTCAGCACCGCTCGAAAGATGGCTCCGACCACGGCAGATATGATTGCAGGTTTAAAAACCTGTTTAGTTCCACACTGCATCGGAAATATTGTACTGGCACTTTCCTACTTAGTTATGAAGACATTTCCTCCAATATGTTCCCGACTATTTGAAGATTGTAGCCTGGAATTGGTGGGTATAACCTGATAGTGTGACCTTCTGGCAAAAAGTGACTTCAGCGTTACCTGTCAAGGGATGTCGCAATCAATCATCTATACATATGGTGTTTTATGCAATATGTTAGTTTAATCAGATCGTATATGGAAAAGCTTCCAATTTTCTGAGAGTGAAAAAGAGAGCTCTAAACTAATTCAATTACAATTAAAATAATGTAACGATATTCATCTTTTGTAACATATAACGAAAACTGACTATTCATTGATTGTAAGTTTGTAACCCTGTACATTCTGTTTTGTGTGCGTGAATTTATTTGAAAAATGTGAGTCGCTAAGTACACAGAGAATCAAACACACACACAAACAAACAATTACATATATATTTGATACTCCAGAAACCAGGATCTCTTCAAAATAAAGCTGCAAGAGAATACAACACAGAATGAAAAAAAATAAACCAAACATTGATTGAAAAAAATGGGGTTTATCTATACATGTACACATAATTTCATGATGAAAAGATATGTGTGTGTGATCATGTTTGAACTTCATCCATATTTACCGGGGGTATATCATAGTTATTACCTGGTACTCTACATGTATGTATCAGTTATAATTAGTGACCACATCCTTAGCTGTTAAAAGACCCTGTCATAAACAAACAAACAATAACTAGCTATACATATATGTAACATGAGCGAAAAAAATGCACAGTCAGACTGGGGTTTAAACCAATGACCGACAAATTTGGTGGTATAATCTTGAAAATCAAGGTTTGGAGAGAATTATCTTTTAGACGCAATTAAAAAGTATATATTGATATGTGCTGACATCAGGTTTGACTTTGATTAAGACATGAACATAAAGCACACCCTAGTATACCTGGTTACAAATTAAATTGGTCAGTGACTTCAGAAAACATATTTGAGCCACCTTTTTTATCGTGATAACCTGCTTTATCTCTAAAAATGTAATTCATCAATACATGTATATTGAAAATTAAAACTTACCTTAAAAACTATATGTACAACATCACTGACATATTTAAAAGCTTTATCAGTATTAGAGTGATTATCAGCATACATAAATTTGAGCTATTGAGTCGCAGCAAGTATGTGGACAAATGCATATATTTATTAGGTCACCTGAGCTTTAGCTCAAGTGACCTATTGCTATCCGTTTTCGTCCGTCGTCGTCCGTCGTCCGTCGTCCGTTAACATTTTACATTTCAAACTTAAAGTCAAGTTCTGCTGGGCCGATTGAACTGAAAGTTGGTAGGAATGATCGCCTCATGGTCCTGACAAAGTGTTGTTATTTTTCGGGTCGATCAGAAATCCAATATGGCCGCCACGGCCACCATTTTGAAAACCTATTTCAAACTTAAAGTCAAGTTCTGCTGGACCGATTGAACTGAAAGTTGGTAGGAATGATCGCCTCATGGTCCTGACAAAGTGTTGTTATTTTTTGGGTCGATCAGAAATCCAATATGGCCACCACGGCCGCCATTTTGAAAACCTATTTCAAACTTAAAGTCAAGTTCTGCTGGACCGATTGAACTTAAAGTTTGTAGGAATGATCGACTCATGGTCCTGACAAAGTGTTGTTATTTTTCAGGTCAATCATAAATCCAATATGGCCGCCACGGCCACCATTTTGAAAACATATTTCAAACTTAAAGTCAAGTTCTGCTAGGCCGATTGAACTGAAACTTTGTAGGAATGATTGACTCATGGTCCTGACAAAGTGTTGTTATTTTTCAGGTCGATCAGAAATCCAATATGGCCACCACAGCTGCCATTTTGGTAAACTATTTCAAACTTAAAGTAAAGATCTACTTGGCCGATTGAACTGAAACTTTGTAGGAATGATCGAATCATGGTCCTGACAAAGTGTTGTTATTTTTCGGGTCAATCAGAAATACAATTTGGCTGCCATGGCCGCTATTTTGCTACTAAGTTCTAATAGGCCGATCTCACTTAAAATTGGTCTAGGAATGATCAGCTCATGGTCCTGACAAAGTTAAGTTAACATTATACTATTTTTTACTCAAATTGGTACATATTTCAACAACAAAAATAAATACTATAGACTCAGGTGACCGTTAAGGCCCATGGGCCTCTTGTCTAATTAACCATTCATTGGACCTGGCTTTTTTGAGATATGCTATTTTACTTTAGTACATTAAATGTAATTTGACATAAAGAATTTATGCATTTGTATTTAATTGCATGCCCAATGTAAATATATAGGCTGGCACCATATGCAATAGATGTACTAATTTGTTGTTGTTTTTATTTCCAGAAAGAATGGGAGTGGATTACTTTCCTTGGCTGTATAATTGTAGTGAAGAATAGAAAACAAGGTGAGGGGATGCCTCCTGTATTACTTTAAATGTAGTCTACAAAGTCCAGAACTGTCAGATATGGGGGTAAATGTTTCTGTAACTTTTTGTGAAGCAAACTTATTATTTATAGCAGCTGACACCCAATGATCTGTCAGATATTTTATAGAAAACAAAACAATTAAATTATTAAAAAAATCAGCTCAGTGTTCTTCCATGGAGAAAATGACAAAAAAGTATTTCACATAAAAAATATAATCATATGAATTGTATTTAGTGTGTGTTAAAATGTTGCTGATATCATTGGTAATGATCTATATTGCTCTTGACAAAAACAAAATACTACAAAAAGTACAAAGATAAAAACAAAATCAGTTACAAAACATTTTTAAACAATATCTTCTCTGAAAAAAACACATCACTTAAGAAATGGACTCATGGACAATGAAAGATGTTTGTTCCGACAATAGTTTTCAAACCAATGAAAGATATCTTGATGAAGCTTGGCACATGCTTGTATCACCCTAACAAAGTATTCATTGTACCATAAAGAGGGTATACATGCTGTGACTATCACCTCAAAATCATTTATTGGTCATTGGGTATTATTTAATTTCTTCTTGTTAACCGTGATAGTTAAAGAATTCTTTGAAATAACCACAATACTTATGCTTGACACTTTGAAGCAGTCAAAGAGCTTGTGTATCTCTATTTAGTTCACTGAACTATGTCCTATGTAAATAATTATGTTTTTATTTTATTTTTACATTTCAGCAACCATCGGTGCCTATATCAATACAACATGCTTGTTTGCCAAAGTCTTGTGTGGCTTCATGTTCTTTAGAGCCAATTCTTTGTATGGCATCTTGTTTGGGGTAGCCTGTTTATGTAAGTATTGGATATGTGCAGCGCTATAAAGGTGATATATATAGGGTAGCTTATAAGGCTCTGTTTTGAACGTAAACAGGAATTGAAAACTTATTTTGCAAGCTTTCGTAAACAGCTGTTTCCTTTCTCAAGTAAAGAGTGTTAATGACATGTGTCTCTACTCTAACATGCTGAAAACAACTCACTAATTAATAATATATAAGCCACAGTGGACCGAATCAGTAAAGTCAGCTGTCAAAAATCATAGAGACATTTCACCAAATTGCACTCTAATACAGCACATATTACCCATCCCCCTGACTGCCTGCATTAAAAGGATTTCAGAGGGATGTGATTCATTTATACATTTTGGCTCCAAATGATCTCGCATGCTGCTTGCTGGGCTATAAAGACAAGTTTGACATTAATATTGAAGTGCTTGATAATTAACGTTGATTGTTTATACATGTATTTCAGTTCACTTTGTGTTCATGCCAGAGCGTATGTACACTGGACCAGAGATGATAACCTACTTCAGGGGACCTAACCTAGACGTATGTTTTACTTATATCTCATTAGACCTACTTCAGGGAACTTAACCTGGACATGTGTTTTGCTTTTATCTCATTACAGATTTTTAACATAAAAAATATGTATGTTATATGTTAACACCTTACATTTTCAATATAAACAATACAGATCCTGTGCAAGGTTATAGGGGTTGTTTCTTTTTGGGTTGGTGGATAGCACTCACTCACAGTTTATTAATGATTGATAACATTATGAATTGAAATATATATGGATTGATGGAAAATTATAAACTAAGCTTTGATTCCTGGAAATCTAAATGTTTTGGGTCAAATATAAAATCTGGAAATTAAATAGTATGGGTTAAACAATTCAAGTGTATTGAAAATCAATCTTCATTTTTATCAGGGATTACATGTTGCTAGTTTAACATCAAATACTGTGTTTGGTGTCTTAGTCTGCAAATCAAAGGGAAGTAACTGTTGAACAAATCACTTTCATTCAAGATGAAAACAAACATGAATAACAGCTTTTGCATTGGTGTATTGTAGGAGGAAATCAAGCGAGACAGGAGAGTGACATGGTTGGTCACATTTTACGTGGCCTGGTCTCCTCCCTGTGTATCATTTGCCAATATTTTCTCAGAACTCTCTGCAGAGTAAGTACTGTATATCATTTCTGAACTCTCCACAGAGTAAGTACTGTATATTATTTCTGAATTCTCCACATAGTAGGTACTGTATATTATTTCTGAACTACACAGAGTAGGTACTGTATATTATTTCTGAACTACACAGAGTAGGTACTGTATATTAATTCTGAACTCTCCACAGAGTAAGTACTGTATATTATTTCTGAACTACACAGAGTAAGTACTGTATATCATTTCTGAACTCTCCACAGATTATGTACTGTATATTATTTCTGAATTCTCCATAGATTAAGTACTGTAATTTATTTCTGAATTCTCCACATAGTAGGTACTGTATATTATTTCTGAACCCTCCAGTAAGTTCTGTATATTATCTCTGAACTCTTCAGTAAGTACTGTATATTATTTCTGAATTCTCCACATAGTAGGTACTGTATATTATTTCTGAACTACACAGAGAAGGTACTGTATATTATTTCTGAACTACACAGAGTAGGAACTGTATATTATTTCTGAACTACACAGAGTAGGTACTGGATATTATTTCTGAACTACACAGAGTAGGTACTGGATATTATTTCTGAACTACACAGAGTAGGTACTGTATATTAATTCTGAACTCTCCACAGAGTAAGTACTGTATATTATTTCTGAACTACACAGAGTAGGAACTGTATATTATTTCTGAACTACACAGAGTAGGAACTGTATATTATTTCTGAACTACACAGAGTAGGTACTGGATATTATTTCTGAACTACACAGAGTAGGTACTGGATATTATTTCTGAACTACACAGAGTAGGTACTGGATATTATTTCTGAACTACACAGAGTAGGTACTGGATATTATTTCTGAACTACACAGAGTAGGTACTGGATATTATTTCTGAACTACACAGAGTAGGTACTGGATATTATTTCTGAACTACACAGAGTAGGTACTGTCTATTATTTCTGAACTACACAGAGGAGGTACTGTATATTATTTCTGAACTACACAGAGTAAGTACTGTATATCATTTCTGAACTCTCCACAGAGTAAGTACTGTATATTATTTCTGAACTACACAGAGTAGGAACTGTATATTATTTCTGAACTACACAGAGTAGGTACTGGATATTATTTCTGAACTACACAGAGTAGGTACTGTATATCATTTCTGAACTACACAGAGTAGGTACTGTATATCATTTCTGAACTACACAGAGTAGGTACTGTATATTATTTCTGAACTCTCCACAAAGTAAGTACTTAAGTAGCCCTATAAGAGGAGATTACTGTATATATTTGCAGTGGGGCAGTGATCCTTAAGTGGCTTATATATCACGGTTAACATGTTAGGGTCACAAGTTGTGGTATAAGTGTTAAGCTTTATATATATATATATTTACATGCCTATATGTATTTATTTCAATCTTGATAATATATCTTCACAAAAACATATACCTTTCAAAAAGATATTTCAAGAGTTTTTACTCCATTTCCCATTGATAATCTTTAGAAAAATTGTGGTGTCATTTTTGCCAGATTCAACATCTTTCTTCACACTTCAGTTTCACCGTTAAGTTATGAACTCCTTCTTACACTAAACAAGGGGTTTATTGTTCTCAAATATTAGTTATGTCCTATCATTACTTCTTTGACCCATATTTATGGCATTCCATATATATATGTATTGGATGTATTATATATTTTCAGATACAGCTTGGAAAATTTAAAATTTGGAAAAATAGATATTGCAAAGTACCCAGAGGTAGCAGAAAAGTAAGTACAAGACTGTATGAATATGTATCAAAAGAATCTCAGATGTATTCCAGAAATGAGTAACACAAAGTGTACGGGGGAGAGAGAAGGTTTTCTGACCTCAAAATCCCACAATTTGTTGTTAACTTTGGTTCATTTTATTTATATGAACAGTGATATGATATTGTAGTTGTTTAGTCAGTAAGAATGCTGATGGCTTCCAAGTTATCGATGGCAATCGTGTTGATATTCTTGTCTCATTCCAATATCGAAAGAAAAGTGAACAGTACAGTCCCCCTGTGTCTCTTGTCTAGTTGAACGGATATCATGGGGAAGTGTGTATGTTTTGTCTTTTTTTTCCCCCAAATACTACATAAACATGTATCAAGTAAGTCTCCTTATGGAAAATAACGATCAGATTTGGCTAATATATATTCATAAAAATTAATAATTTGAAGATAATTATTGGGATTTTTAACTTTTCTGAACTACATTTTATCAAGGATTTCCCTGCTACAAAGCATGCGCATAGCACGCCATTTCATTGAAAACAAAATGACTAGCGGTGGGAAGTGTTGGTAAGTGGAAACCGTTACCGCGTCAGCTACGAAGCGAAAAGTTGCCAGATGGTCAAAAGATAGCGTAAGGATTATGTAACGGAATCAATATTGCAGGTGGGAAGTATTCAAAGTAGAAAATAACTGCCCTAGCAGTTAGTACGGTGCATGTGTTCTTCTGGATAGCCGGTTTAAGCTGAAATGGAATCGACAGAAATGCTGTTTATGTTATGTATAAATATCTAAAACTATTAACCTCGCTAGTATCTTTGTCTAGGTTGGAACACAGATGAACTTTTTTTGTTATATAAATGGGCATGTATCGGAGAGAGTTTACTTTGTGTTTCTATATACAGTAGTTTATGCGAAAGGAAGGGATAAGTGACTGGTCAGTTTGATTTTGATATGAGGCCCTCCAAGGGATAACTGTTGTGATGGCCATGGCGTATCCTGTTCTATCCTCTGTCGGTACTCAGGGTCAAATGAGATACGTGCACTATTAGATTTATAATATTCCCGGGTTCAGTATAATGGTATGATTTAATTATATTGCTGAAGTAAACAATTTTTTTTTATTTACATGCAAGATTTAAATATGTCAAAATGACGGTTCAGGATGAATAACCGAGGCAGGAGAACCTACTTTTAGTAAATAGGATCGCAAAACAAACACATTTTTTAAATCGTAATGTTTCAACAGTTCATGTTTTCACATGATGTTGACTTAGAATGTATGATCATGCAACAACTTTTTCTCTATAAATAATTTATTTCTGACTTCAGATAGAATCGGAATACACATTGAAAATGGGGAAAAAGTCATTTGTAAAAATAGTGCGTGCTGCCGATAACTACCGCTTCTGTTTCGGACAAAAAGAACTGATTAAAGAAAAGTTGTCTCAACATAAAAAAGGGTCTATTTACAAGTATGCTTTAATCTATGTAAAGTATTGAAAACATATACTTATCAAGTATCTCAACACGTTCCATATCTTACGCAATTATTCTACATGTACACGTAGTGGTTTTGCCAGAAATGTTTATTGTGTGTGATGGCTAATATGACTTACTAAGTGTTAGCGTATGAAGACAGTGACAGTGGGAAAGAGAGTATACATGAATATATATATAATGCATGGTCTAGAAAAAAAGTGGCCAAAGACATTGAGTTGCACAATGTAATAGAAAAAATCACAAACGTTTCTCTTTTTTATACTTGTCAATGCATAGATACACTTTATGAACACATTTAAAAAGGGATATTCGTCTCGTGAATATTCCTTTTTACAGAAAGGTTTGTCCCATGGTTGATGGAAGGTGTTTAGTCCCGTACCCATCTGTACTGTTCACATTCCGGTAATAGATATTTCCTGGTGTCTATAAATTATGCCAACATGCCAACATATATTTCTTCATTTACATTCTGAATATTGGCATGTGTGAAATTAACTTCTGATGATGAATAATTACTGATTCTATAAGTTTCAACACAGACTTAGAAATCATATTCCTTGGTTTCATAGTGCAGTAAGAAGTAGCAGTTGCCTTTCGGCCCCTCTCTGGGGGCCCCTTTGGAAAATTTGCATCTCGGTCAGACCACCAGTGTTAAAGTTTACTGCCTCTTTTCAAAACCGTCCAGTGACGTTATTGGCGCTATTTTTAACAGGCTTTCCCCGAACAATTTAAGTGGTCAAACTGGAAATTTGGAATGGACTATGAATATAGGGATAGCAAGGAAACATAAGTGGAAGTGCAAACAACACATACATTCATTAAAAAAAATATGGCTCTTCACGTGATGTCCCTTTAAAACAAATAATGTAAGACAATATGAAGGATTTTAGTAACCTTCATATTTAAGGTTTTGTGCAATACATCAAATGTGAATAAGTGTAAACAGACATTAACAACATCATTAATGTTCTTGATACAATTTCCTTTCTCAGATATAGGATCAGTGCCAGCCCCATGTCGAGACAGCTGCCAACCATTGTAATGTTGGAGGGTGGTGAAGAGACGATGAGAAAACCATATATATCCCCAAAAGGCACAGTGGTCCGATACATTTTTAACAAGGTTTGATTTTTGCATCTTCAAAGAAAGTTTTTTAGGGCATCCCATTCCGTAGATTTTACTCTCTCAAACCTTAACAGCTTGAGCAATGGGACAGTGACCATAGTCAGAAATCTGTAAAAAAAAATCAAAAAAATCTTGAAATTTTGTTTTCAACAAAAACATGAATGGATTATAACAAACCATGGTTCATACAGGGGATGAAAAGTGCTGGAATTTTTGTATGAAAAATCTGTACAAACCATGACAAACATGGTCTTCAGGTTTTGCTTCCATTGTATTTATCCATAGACATTAACCTGTCAGTTGTTAATGAGCTGCAACAAAGATGAGTCGGTCAAAGGTCAAGATTTTTCAATATCATTCCATGCACAGGAAAAATGGATTACTGGTCTTGTATGGTGTGTATCAATAAGATTTGTAAATAAAATACTACACCAAAAGAATGTTTATGAAATATATTTCATATGTTACATTTCATTACTTGAATGTATTTGAATTAGTGTTCACAATTAATCTACACCCAGGGTCACCTTGACCAACAACTGAACCAAACTAAAATATAGAATACTGCCTATGCTCTCTGTTTACTCCATTAATTATGGTTTTGTTTGTGTTGCAGGAAAACATCATAAAAGATTTTGAATTGAACATCGCATATGATAAATGTAAAAAGAATCCACTGAAGCCAAGAAAGTCAGAAAAGGAGAAGGCAGAGTAAGCTGTGTGATGGGGTCTACACTCTGGTGTGAAGATCTGCTACATAAAAGTGAATCAGAGATGTGATCATGTAACAAAATTGATGGAAGACTGACACTTAGTGGGGCAATTTAAGTACAACCAATACAAAAATCGGATAAAAAGTTTTAAGATATAATTACAAAGTTGTGAACTAAAATGTCACAAATGTTTAAACTTCTACTGTTATAATTTACCATCCTAAGAGTAGACAGGATTATGTAGACAAGATTAACTACATGTAGACAAGATTAACTACATAATCTTGTCTACATGTTTGTCTACTTGTAGTTAATCTTGTCCACATAATCTTGTCTAAATAATCTTGTCTACATGTAGGTAGTCTTGTCTAAATGGAGTTAATCTTGTCTAAATAATCTTGTCTACATAATGTTGTCTAAATGTAGTTAATCCCGTCTACATGTAGTTATCTTGTCTACATGTAGGTAGTCTTGTCTAAATGGAGTTAATCTTGTCTAAATAATCTTGTCTACATCATCTTGTCTAAATGTAGTTAATCCCGTCTACATGTAGTTATCTTGTCTACATGTAGACAAGATTAAATACATGTAGACAAGATTAAATACATGTAGACAAGATAACTACATGTAGACAAACATGTAGACAATATTAACTACATGTAGCCAAGATTAACTACATGTAGACAAACATGTGGACAAGATTAACTACAAGTAGACAAACATGTAGACAAGAGTAACTACATGTAGACGGGATTAACTACATTTAGACAAGATGATGTAGACAAGATTAAATACATGTAGACAAGACTAACTACATGTAGACGGGATTAACTACATTTAGACAAGATTAACTACATGTAGACAAGATTAACTTCATGTCCTCTGTCTGTAATTACATTGAGCAAAGTTGAGAGTGACATTGAATAAGATAACAATAAAACATTCAAAAGCAAAATACTTTTATAACCTCAGTAAGATTTGTCAGTATGGAAATATGTAATATCAAAAAGTTTTACTTTATACACGTACAATGTACATATGAAACGTGTCACTCAATCATAGCTTGACAAAAGGACCAGTCGGCTGTGAAACGTTGTGACACGATTGATACGTACATTGTTTGTGTATAAAGTAAATCTTTGATATTTGAACCTGGTAGAATCCTAAGAAAAACAAGTTGTTCAAAATTCCTATCGCCTGTAAAATTGAGTGGTTATGAAAATAATTATATTATTTATAGCTAGTAGATTATCTTGAACAATATAACAGGTGATTACTTTTTATCATGGATGTGATAATTTTCCTGTATTAAAATAGCTTTGACAAATTTATTTTGAAATATCATCCTGTGATAATGTTCCCTTGTAAATATTTTTACCTATAAATAATACTGAATATGTGTTAACCCTTTCACCCCTAAGTAACTTTAATAGACCCTACCATGCATTGAGATTGGATGAGTCCGTTGTGGTCTACAGTGGTGAAAGAGTTATAAAGGCAATAGCAAAGTCTGAATCCCTGTTGGCAGTATTCTGATATCACACTTTCTGTATGTTGAATAAGTCGATATCTCCATAGTAGTTATAGGTAATTTTTAATTTTCTATGGATTGTTTAGATTTTTAAAATTTGCTTAATATCAAACGTACGTTTGTTTGAATTTATGCGTTTTTATCGTCAAACTAATGATATCAACTATTATACAGATGGGTTTTTTTTTTCGAAAGGTGATCGAAGTTCACATTCTGGATTTTGCTTTTCATCTTATTGTGTTAAATGTAAAGATTAGATGCTATAGAAAAATACCTGATGTATGGTAGGCAGTTCCTTAATATCCTGTTTTGTTCCTGGATGTCTTAGACACCAAATATATCTTGATGTAATTGCTGTGTTTGGATAATTTTTTACCTACGTTAGATTTTCAAGGAAACTGTTCTTACTCTATAATCATTATGGTAATTGTACACATTGCAATCCTCATGTTTCCTTGTCATGTTTTATCTGTGAAGGTGAGTTTTGTTTTGAGAATGGTGTGTTGCCATGGTTTTGTATTCTTTCATGCATATATTTGTTTATTTCTTTCATCTCTAACATTTTTGCATTTTTCTAAAAGATATTTGTGTTATGAATGAATTCATTGATAAATGGAAAAATAATTATATTGAAGATTTTCCAGATGAAATTGAACTACACATTTGAAGGAAGGGTTAAGATTTGTGAATATATTTGTGTATTTGAATCATGTATATACGTAGTTGATGCAAGTGTTTTGGTACAAAGTGTTCACTGCAGTGCGAGTACTCAAACTAGGAATGTGCAATTTTAATACTTGTATATATTTTAGGCGAAATATACCTGATGCCTGATTTTCGCCATTGCGTCAAGTGATTTACCTAGATTTAGTTTTAAGATGTTTTTTTTAGCTCACCTGGCTCGAAGGGCCATGTGAGCTAATGCTGTACTGCGTCGTCCGTCCGTCACCTTTTTCTTTTAAACGACTTCTTCTGAAGAACTGGAGGACATAGGGGCATTATATTTGGCCAGTAGGTACCTGGGATGGAGTGCTATAAATCCTCTTTTTACTACTGTGACCTTGAAAGTATGTCAAAGTCATTTGACTTTGACTTTGACATACTTTCAAGGTCACAGTAGTAAAAAATTATGAAAACTTCAAACTTCGATATCCTAAGAAGTATTTGGTCTAGAGTCATGATACTTGGGTATGTTATGTAGACCCGCAATGCAAATCTTTTTCTTAATTACAGTAATGAGGTCAAATGTCAACTTTAAAATACTAGCCGGAGTCAAAGGTCTTGTTTTCTGGTGCATTTAAACTCAAAATTCTGATATTTTTGTCAAACCTAATGATATGTTAGAATGGCTTATCACACGTCCCTTAGTGAAAGGAAATTCATTACAATGAAATCACATTGCTTTAGCTGTAAAATTCTAATCATTGCAATTGCATTGCTTTTACAGTTTAACAAAAGACATATAAAACTTTACACTATTTATTTTTGTAGTTATTTTCAAAACTGAAGTTCCAATGTTAATTCTAAGGCATTATATACACAGTTTTAAAACTGTTATTGCAATGTTTTAAATTAACTTATTTGGTGAAATATTTTGAGAGATGAAGCATATCAACCCAATTCTGTTTCAATGTTAGCTGTTATTGCAATGTGGGAAATCAGTGCTAACATTCCATTTATTTTGTCGAAGGGATGATCATTTCAGAACAAAAGTCTTAAATAGATGCGCAAGATCCATAGAGAATACACTTAAAAAATAGTGAAAAATAGAAAAACATTGAGTTACAGGATAACACACCAATCATTCTGACATCAATGGATATGTTCCTGACCTGGAGTTACTTCCCTTCTCAAACAACATCAGGTTACCATGGTGTGTAACTACAGACTCTATAAGACTAAATTTGACAACATTAAGTAACTATGGTGTATACATTTTTAGATCCTCTTGAAATTAACTGCCTCACACAATGTTTTTTTTTCTACAAGTTGTACTTTGTATATGGTACATTGTAGTCAACAGATCTGATTTGTGTGATTGAAGTAAATGTGAGTATTGTTGTATTGATTAACCAAGAGATATGTGGTGGTTACTTGTTTGGGGGAATCTAAATGGAAATAAATGTATGGAACCAGTTTCTTTTTAGTTTTTGTAATTTTGTTTAAATTTTGAACAAATGTCAAGTATGAGACATCCTCAATATCCAGGGATAACGCTCACTTTCGCTCTGTGCACCCCTTGAATATGTCATACCAAAATTGAAGGCACGCATCTAGCTATTTAATTGGTCTCGGTGAAAAAGACCTTACCAATCGCTAGGCTAATACCTGCCCTTTGAAGATACAGTAACAGTGGAATGATACTTCAAAGACAGTCAATTTTACCATTGCGCAACCGACATATTCTTTTGGTGTACATCAAAGGATTCTCTACTCATCCGCAAGATAGTGCACATTGAGCAGTTCATTTGGCAATGACATATTTCAGATTCCAGGGTTGTAGAGAGTGAAAATGAACGAAACCCCTGGAGTATCAAGGATGGGTATGAGAAAAGTTCAGAGTTCTGATGCCAAGGACAGGTCGTTGAACGTTTAATAGAAAACATTCAACCAATTGATTGGTATCACTCGAGCGACTTCATTTCTTAACGGATCTTAATCCAATTATGTACAGAGTTAAGCATGAGACGATCTTGGATATGTTTGTATTTAAGAAAATGATTTGGTTAAATCACCAGCCTATTATTCATCAACATTTCTCAGCTTTGGGCATGAAGACCAAGTGAAAAAATCCATTCGTACCACTTCAAAATGTAAATGATATGGAAGCAGAGATAATATTAATAAAACTGAAATATGTATTTTTACCTACAGTTAGGCCAGAATACTGTGTATTATGTACAGTATCTTCAGTAGTCGGTCGAACTAATGAGCATGTGCTTCGTTTATACACATAAAAAATCTGCCAAATACAAAGTGGATACAAATTAAGCAATAACAGAGGAAACCCCCTTCAGTAAAAAGTTAAGCGTTTCTTAGTGATTATACATTGAATGTAGCAACATTTGACACCTTAATTCATGGTGTCTCCCGTAAAATCTGAGTACATGGCACGATATGAAATAAAACGTGGCAAATAATTATTGAATCAATTATGTCCCGGACATTAGGTCATGACATGATCATGACTAGCTGTTAATATATTCAATGTACATATATTTGATAAATTGAAAAGTATTGGCTAAAAATAGCATTGCTAAGTAATATCTATTTCCTCCCAAAAAGTTCTGATATAGAATTATTGTTAATGGCGGTACGGTACTTATCGTGACACATTATACATAAATTAAAACACTATCCTTAATCTAGAATGTTGCTGCAGAGGAAAGGAAAACTTACAACCATAAAAATAAGGTAGTCACATTTGTCATAGGATTTGGTATTGAGATGTCCATGATTGTTGTACTGAGGTAAGTGTCGAAGAATATGGTAGGGTAACAGGGGAAAGGCTCGGACTAACCCCTACTCTCTATATGGTTATAGAAGTGTATAGTGTCACTGTGTAACCGTATATAGATCGAGGTCGGCGGTTTAAGTCTGTACCTTGCCCCTGTGTACAGGGGTTCGTTACAAATGTCTGACATACACATATCATGCTATTCTGATATGGGTCAGCGCTGTGACCCATATGAGTATAGCATATATATAATATATAAGTGTATGTCAGACATTTGGAAATCGAACCCCTGTGGTGGGGTCAGAAATCAAAATTCCAGTCATGAATTATTTACTTTCACTTCCCATACCTCTCTTTTTTCTCTATGACGTATCACTATCGAACTACAATTGCCAGTTTTTAATCTCAACATTTTGACAGATAAGCACGACTAGATGTCTATAAACTGACTGTTAAGACTATGTGACTGTATGTAGAGTTATTCCCCTTTCCCGGAAATTGATGTGAAAAATAAACAATGATGTGAGCGAGTGACAGTCTGTGGACCATATGACGATAGGATGGACAGCCGGAGGCTGAGGTAACCTGACTTTCACGTCAGACCCGAAAACATGCAGGCGACTGCTCACGACGTTGAGGGACAGGTAATGTATTAGGTGTGATATCAGATCGATAATGCAAGGTAAACAAGATAAGGATACAGTTAATGTACTTCCTTGATAAATATTTCTAGTATGCACACTTTCTGGATATAAAATGTTTCTTATAGTATGGTCTTTATCCCCTGATGTAAGATTGAATTTGTCGGAGTGTAACTATATATTACTAGTAATTATCGATCTGGGATATTTGTTGAAGCATTGTTAGCTTAACGGCAATTTAACACGAAGTCCACGTTGATGTACGGTAGTGCACAAACTAGGCCCCTACATACTATTCCTAAAAGCAATATGTGTATGGATTTAGCGTAAACTGTTATTAATTTTCAAAGCTTGATATTCGACAGTTTAACTAGTTGTTCATGTAAACATAAAACATTTGTATCGATACTGCAAGATAAATGATGCTTGCTTGGAACTAGGCCTACACTACGCAGTGATCAAGCCTCCTAGGTGTTATACCTGCAGCGATTAGTTTTCTTATAATAATAATAATACAACATTTACATAGCGCCTATATAATATGTAAAATTACTCTAAAGCACTTTAAATTACAACATATATGGATAATAGCATTAGTTTTAATTGTTCAATCACCATTATACATTAACAAGAAGATAATCATCTCAATATGCACATAAATGAATAAATAAAGGGTGGGCCTAAAATGCAGACGTGAAGAGTTGGTTATCTTACTGCTAGATGTTGCAGTTTTAATGGAATTAGCTAATTTGTTCCTGATCAATTAAACATAGGGCTTTGATTGCAACTCAGTCAGAATTTCATATAAACATGCTATTATGTATACATATGTGTTCTAAAGAACAGTGAAAACTTCCCCTAGTCATCTCTTCAATTATTCCTAGCTTATATATTTACATTTCATGTCACAATGTACAACATACCGTCATACTGCCGTTTACACACACAAATAATTAAAAAGTTTAAATGTTCATGTGTAGAAGATAAGTATAGAAAACATAAGAGCTAATATAACGACCGATTTAAAAACCGTCAGCTTTCACCTTTCATAGGGCTCTTCAGGCTAGCTTTCACCCTTCACATGGCTCTTCAGGCTAGCTTTCACCCTTCATAGGGCTCGTCAGGCTAGCTTTCACCCTTCACATGGCTCGTCAGGCTAGCTTTCACCCTTCATAAGGCTCTTTAGGCTAGCTTTTACCCTTCATGGGGCTCTTCAGGCTAGCTTTCACCCTTCACATGGCTCTTTAGGCTAGCTTTTACCCTTCATAGAGCTCTTCAGGCTAGCTTTCACCCTTCATAGGGCTCTTCAGGCTAGCTTTCACCCTGCATAGGGCTCTTTAGGCTAGCTTTCTCCCTTCATAGGGCTCTTCTGGCTAGCTTTCACCCTTCACATGGCTCTTCAGGTTTTCACTATTTTTTCATTTTTTTCTATTTTACACGAAAAAGCGATATCTTTGTAAATGTTCTGCGGATCGACACGGGGGTATAACACAGTGAGTCGAACCCATCAGTGGCACCACAATTAGGTTCAAACAATGAAATTCAGCAGACTTGTACTTTTGATTCGTGATCAGTTACATTTGTACGTCTGTTAAGTATTTTGCTAATTGCTTACGTGCAGCACGTGCGTGATTTATATTCCAATTAAAAACTACATGATCAGTGTTCATGTCTGTCATTTGAATCTCCGTTGACAAGAGGTCTATAGGAAAAGGAAGTCATGTCGTTGTTTAGCAACTCTCCTATACCTAAATGTGTTTACATACGATATGAAATACCACACGATCCAGCTATTAACTCACTTATGCCTATTTTAGTTAATAAAAAAAGGATCGTACACCAACCAGTGACTAAAACCAAAACCCATTCATCATAGACATGTGTGACCTTTAGTTTAAACAATATTAGTACACGACATAGAAAGATATATACTGAAATTGAATCCCATATTGTCACAGACAAAGGTTTTCAAACATTTCTTTTGGTAAACCAACCACATTACTTGTGAATATCATCTGTTGGTCCGCCACTTAGAAACCCTAAACCATATTGGTGACTGATTGTACATGTATCTTGATACCTTACAATTAAGCCTGAAAACTCTGGAAATAGGCCACACAACCGCTGTCCAGGAGAACGCCATCCCTGATACATGCATTTAACAATATCTCCAAATTTGGTGTGATTGACGGAGTTGTATTGAGAAAATCGTATGACTTTTGGGATGCTAATCCTGTAGATGTTAATTTTGTAGAGAAGGAGTAGGCATTTCTTCCTCTGATCCTTTGAAGACCATCAGTCAAGTCATGTAAATGTCCCGTGATACTAACTGATGTCTGTGATAGACCTGGTATCAAGCTGCTTATTAACCCGAGGTTCCTCTGGCCCTGACACCAGACTTAGATGTTTTGTTAGGGAGATGTTTGGCCCTGACACCAGACTTAGATGTTTTGTTAGGGAGATGTCTGGCCTTGACACCAGACTTAGATGTTTTGTTAGGGAGATGTCTGGCCCTGACACCAGACTTAGATGTTTTGTTAGGGAGATGTCTGGCCCTGACACCAGACTTAGATGTTTTGTTAGGGAGATGTCTGGCCCTGACACCAGACTTAGATGTTTTGTCAGGGAGATGTCTGGCCCTGACACCAGACTTAGATGTTTTGTTAGGGAGATGTCTGGCCCTGACACCAGACTTAGATTTTTTGTTAGGGAGATGTTTGGCCCACACCAGACTTAGGTGTTTTGTTAGGGAGATGTCTGGCCCTGACACCAGACCTAGATGTTTTGTTAGGGAGATGTTTGGCCCTGACACCATACTTAGATGTTTTGTTAGGGAGATGTTTGGCCCACACCAGACTTAGATGTTTTGTTAGGGAGATGTCTGGCCCTGACACCAGACATCTATATTTTTTCCACTTTAGTGACTAATGCAATGGATAAGCTTGTAACCATGGTGGATGTTAATATATATACATTGTATATTTAACAAAACTAAATATTCTGGTACTTTTTGTATTTGTTAACAGCAATTTCCATCTGTCATCAACCTCAATGTCGGGGGTCGAATCTTCGCGACACGTTTATCAACACTGCGGAAGTACCCGGAGTCAATGCTAGCTGTCATGTTCAGTGGGCGTCACAGAGTGGACAAAGATCTAGATGGTAACTATTTCATTGACAGAGATGGAACGTATTTCTTGTTTGTTTTGAATTTCCTGCGGGATGATAACGATCTCCCACCGGTAAACTACGCAGAGGATGTCCTCAAAGAAGCTATGTTTTATGGGATACAAGCTCTGGTAGACAGATTAAAAAACTCGCCTCCCCTCTTTGCTGAGTACGTAGTACGAGAAAACGTACGTAAGAAACTCGGCGGATATCAGGAGGTAAAAGAGGAGATCATATCCCTCGCCAAACTTCAGGTGATGGAAAGTGGTGCTATAACATCGGTCGTTAGACTAATCATCTCCAAAAATCAGCCTGTGCCTCGTGACCTACAGTTCTCAAAACAAGTTTACAAGCAGTACTACAGAAAGTTCCGACTGTATACAAGTTTTGAGTCATGCTACGGTAAATACTTTATAAATTTGCCTGCCGAACGAGTCAAAGGTCAGCCAGATGCTGTAATGGACCTGGTGGCGGCGTGCCTCAGTCGTGATCTCCTCGAGGAGGGCTATAAGGGCATATTTAAGTCGGAGGGTGTACATGACGAGGATCGGAAACTCAAGACTATTACTTGGTGTGACGAAGAGTTCCACGTGTCCTCTTCATGTCACATGTTCAGGTTTGATTGGCTTGACACACCGGGCAGACACTGACATGGATTGTTATATTAGTTATATAAAATATGGCAGTCGAGTTTCAATAATCAAGCAACTTTTTTTTTTTTTTTTTTTTTTTGTATTTTTGTATTTTTCAACATGACTTATACATATACACACACTCACACACACACAACTAGAAACTACTGATGGTTCAGCATAACACTCACTTCACTCAACATTATCAGCTTACTTATGCAACTTTTATTCATAGTAAACTATTCAGACACTTTATTCCCAGTAGATAACCCAGCCACATTTATTCCTAGTATATAATTCAGCCACCTTTGTCTTTTGTAGATAGTACAGCCACACCTTCTTATAGTAGATCATTCAGCCAAATACATTCAGCGACTCTGGTACTTGTTCGATAATCAAGTTACCTTCGTGTTCTACTTAGATAATCCAGTCACCTTCGTTCTTAGTACTGAATCAAGTCACATTCGTTCCATGTAGATTACTTAGCCACGTTCGGTTTTAGTAGATAATTCAGCCACTGGGTTCTCGGTAGATAATCCAGCCATCTCTTTTTCTCGTTGGATGATTTAGTCACTATCGCTCCGAGTGGATAATATGGCAACGATCGTTCTTAGAAAATAATCCAGTTCCTAGCAAACGTGACTGGAGTGTGATACGGCTAGAGTACCGTAACAACCTCGAATAATGCCAATCTGTCACCTAAAACTCGGATAATTGGAGACCGGATTAACGAGTCTCGACCCGTTCAGTTAGCTCAGAAGCAAATATACAGATCAAGCAAAAGCATGCACATATATGGATACTGTTACCTCTCATGGTCGTTATTGAATACAAAATTATAATACTGTCGGTATCAGGGTTCCGAGGCATTAACACAACTGTGGGTTTTAAAGTAAAGGGATGTGTTTAATTCGGGTCCTTTCTCTACCCAAATCCTTAAAATCACCCTTTCGCCTGTAAAAGTGCTACTTTTTCGTATATATTTTTGCTGACAAACCCTTAATAATAAATATATGCTCACCTGGCAGTACAGGCTGATTGGCTGTCTGGTACATTTACTTGCTATTCTGGTGTAATTATTTGTGTATATATGCATGGCTTGTCAAATGGCCATACTTACTGCATTCCATTGTTATTAAAAGGACCAAATCTAACTACATATACAATGGCTGCTTTCATTAATCAACAGTTAAAGAACATGTTGTTATATCATATATTCCGTCTTTGCGTATTGCAGAGTTATCTTCTCTTGGGAGCAGGGATTGATTGTTACGTCATTGGTCTGTGTGAGAAAATTACGTCGTTTTCTCAAAAATTGATGAGCTTTCTCTCACAAACAAGTGACGTAACAATCAATCCCTGCTTCCAAGAGAAGATAACTCTGCAATACGCAAAGACGGAATAACAGCTAGGTGATGCAGTGCAATTTTATTTTGGCATATTGTGCCTGTTACCATTTTTAATCACCTATGAGTGTGCTATGTTCCATCATCCCTTTCATTATGTACAGAGTATCGAAAAAGAAGACTATATTTTGACTATCTATAAACGTGGATGTAATTAATACAGTTATTATTATATGTATATGTTTAGGACTGCTTTTGGGATTATCATTGCCTCTAGACAATGTTTTCAGATCATCTGGCCTGAAGGGGCAGATTAAATGTTGGTGCAGAGTGTATAAATCGTCATAAGGTTTAGTTCTTTGATTTGTTGTGGCATATTGGACACCACAGCCTCTCATTTATCATTTATCGAGTGATTTTTATTTAATTTCTTCTCACGAATGGCCATTTCGATTTTAACAAAATTGGTATGAATGGTATCAAATACTTATTTTAGGTCTTTTAAAAACCCAACAAGATCTCTGCTGTTTTTGATCGACTGAGATGTAAATGAAGTGTTTTTTCTTAGCAATAACTATCCTGTATTTCTTCTGATTGTATATTTATTTTTCGCCTGATTGTATTTGTTATTGATTTGTGAATGATTGTTTGTGCCATGGACGTGTTATATCTGTCATATCTGCAACATACAAATTATTACTGTTGGTAAACCAGATGGAGCAGGACCTCTTAGTTTGCATTATTTAAAATGCTTTCATATTAAGATATTACAGTGTAAATATATATATATATATATCAAATACTGAAGAGAACATCTTTATTCCCATTGACTTGTATAATGTAGGTATATGTTGTATACAATGTATTATCTTCACAAGTAAACATGCGTCGATCACTGACCATTCCAGTTACATGTTTGGGTCCAGTTGTGGGGAAGTGGTTGGTGATTTGAAATCGTACCTATAACACCCAAGCTGTGTTTTGTATATAATGTGCCATACAGGTTTTTAATTAAAATTGTTATTTGTGTTAGTGGTATGTAAAATACTATGTTGAAATCTTTAACCGATTTCTTCATAAATTGCATCTGGTCTCCCGTAATGTTTTTGACATGTTATATGCTAGTATAAGGGCATATCAAGTTTTCCCAATATGTATGTTTCCGAATATTGAACCATCTTCTATGTCACAGGGAAAAACGAGCGAAGTTACTCAAAAAAATATCTTAATTAATATTGATGGTCACATAAGTAAATCAAATCGAAATCTTCCAAAGAAGTTATGTCAGGTATAAAATAATGACATTAGCCTATTGTGTTAAGTTGCTTGTTATCAAGTTTTTTTGAATATATATTATCAACTTTGATGACAATATGTGAGATGTCTTAGCCAACAGCATTTAATAATAGACAGACGATACATGCATATCAGGCTTCTTCCATGGTAGTATGAATAATTGCAGTGTTTGATTTTTAAAGACTGCGGGCGCTAAAGCCATTACGGCAAACGTTTGATCAACATGCGATAAACAAGTGAAATCATTTGACGTAAACTAATGGCTGAAAATAAGGTTATGTAGTGTTTAACTAAACCACAGAGATTATTTCTAAAGAGAGATGCTTCATTCAGAAGTATGTTCAGCACATGGGCATTATTGTTTTTAATATTTATCTCACCGGTATGAAACGGATGTGATCGGTGGCACGTATTCATTTGACATTGTATAATAATGTGTTCTATACTTAGTTGCGCACATACCTACAGTGGAGTTGATCACAATTATAGCCTCGGAGAGAGAAATGTTTTTTTTTTTTAAATCTATAGTTATTTAATATAGAATAAAAATAAATTTTTCAGATCGTCCGCTAGGCCTTTCTGCCTTCTTTAATATATATATACATGCTTATTCATCATTTAATCCAGAAACTGAGCGTACGGATCAACCTATTTCACTGTGTGTAGATGATCTGTATGTTTAGAATACTGCATGACATATGAGGAAAATGAATTAGTTATCGTATGAAATACTATTATGTTTGGTATGGATATATCTTTTTTATATACAGATATTAATGTCTTAATGTGGATAAAACGAAAGTTTATAACTAAAAGATGGCTTTACAGTTGACATATGATATTATTATGATATTTGCGTAATGTGTGTGTTCATTCACCTTTTATACCAGACATTGATAGTAGAAATTTAGTCCATTTTACTGTGTGTGGAGATTCACTTATATGAAATACTTGCAGTTCAATAGTGCAGCGGATTCGGCATGCATTTATGTTTCATCAATCATGTAACGAAAACTTGCGTATTTTATTTTTAGGTCACTTTATGTATTTGTTACTTCCCCTAATTTAATAGAACGCATTTTAAGTGTGTGTTTTTTAAATTGAACAATGCTTAAATGAAGAAATGTTTTTTTTGACAAAATCATTTAAAGACTTTTATTTGCGTTGATCTAATAAGGAAATATTGATGATTCAGATCAAGTATTGAAGGTAAATATAAAAACCTGTGTTATAAGGTTGTCTGTCAGCAATCGGCATCTGTCACGAAAATCGAACTCTTAAATGCTGAAACAACTGCGACGATCCAACTATTTCTAGAAAACACAGGAGGTATGCCAGATCTGATTGTATTTTATTATTAAATTATATTATATATATATATATAAGGTAATGAATTGTTAAACTAGACATATTTGTTTTTTTATTCAATTAAAGATAGTGTGTTTTCCTGGAGGCATACCACATACGGGCTAGAAAAAAATCCCTATTAACTACAGTATCTGCCTTCACTAAACTGAAGAATTGGATTCCAGAAATGGTTAACTTATATATATATATAATTAATATCAGAGCTATGATTTTTTGGTCTTGCTGCATATATTTGCTCATGAAACGAGACTCATTTTACACGATATACTTGTTATTCTAATACCGATTAGTTTCTTTTCATTTAAATAACACTTTGAAAGACATGTCTCAGTGTTATTGTTATACTGGGTGTTTCTGGTAATTACTGTTGTAATGTTGATTGCGTGAGATGCGATATCATCTATCGTGCGTGCTATACAACTCAATCGTGTTCGCATTGTCAGAAATGTGTGTCAATTATAATGTAATTGCGTTGTAAGTACCATGCATGAGCAGAGTGATGTATTTATGTTGTTATTATGTATAACCATTGTGTTGTATCGTGTATTGCTAGTATTGTGTATGACCAATATATTGATAGTACTTTGTATGTCCAGTGTGTTGTATCGTGTGTTGTTAGTATTGTGTATCAAGTATATATTGATAGTACTTTGTATGACCATTGTGTTGTATCGTATATTGCTAGTATTGTGAATGACCAATATATTAATAGTACTTGGTATGTCCAGTGTGTTGTATCGTGTGTTGTTGGTATTGTGTATCAAGTATATATTGATTGTACTTGGTATGTCCAGTGTGTTGTATCGTGTGTTAGTATAGTGTATGAACTATATATTGATAGTACTTTGTTTGTCCAGTGTGTTGTATCGTGTGTTGTTAGTATTGTGTATGAATTATATCTTGATAGTACTTGGTATGTCCAGTGTGTTGTATCGTGTGTTGTTGGTATTGTGTATCAAGTATATATTGATTGTACTTGGTATGTCCAGTGTGTTGTATCGTGTGTCAGTATAGTGTATGAACTATATATTGATAGTACTTTGTAGGTCCAGTGTGTTGTATCGTGTGTTGTTAGTATTGTGTATGAATTATATATTGATAGTACTTGGTATGTCCAGTGTGTTGTATTGTGTATTGCTAGTACGGTGAATGATCAATATATTGCAAGTACGTTGTGCGTTGTATTTGTGCTGATACCTTTGACGGCTATTGAGTTGTATCGAACCCTGTGCTTATGTATAGAAGACACATGTACATTGTCATATATATCGTAGTACTTTATGTGTGGTAGATATATGTTATATATTATTTACTGTATATGGTATTGCCATTACGATAATTTATATTTTACATTTTATGTATGTATGTTATACTTTATATTGCTGTAGTGTATATTGTACTGTACATAATATATTAAACTGAGATATATATTTTCCATTGTACTCCTACTTGTGTAACAAAATACATGTTTCGATTTTTGTGTCGAGTTTTGTGAGTTGTTTTTCATTTTTCATTTATGGTGATTAGTGCATTGTCTCTATTAGACTCTTAGTTTTTCAAAATTATTAGATCTATACTTGATATAAAAGATTTTATATTTTATATTTTCAATCGTCAATGTCAGGGTGGCTCGGGACCTTTGCGTTCTATTACACCGGTGACATGGACAGCGTATTGTAGGTTTCTTAACACGTTTAGGATGCATGTCAAATAATATTTAATGGCTTGCGGTATTGAGGCTTTAAAGTAAACGTTACAGATAGTAAATTGGAACTTTGAATTAAAATTATTTCCGAAATTTGACTTGAAAATACATTTGACCACAGATATAAAATCAAGGGTGTCATTTTTACCAATTGCTAATTGAATAGTTACCTCTTATCAGGACCGAGGCAATCTTTACAGAAATAGTGAAAAATCAGCAATGGAACACACGTGTTTTGGCCTTACGTACTAGAATATTACTTTGTTTTGTGTTATTTCTTACTTTGATTTGAAATATATCTATAGAAAAGTAGTAGTATTTTTTAAGGGAAATCTCACCATTTTTAATCATGGAAAGTGAGTGGTAGCATTTATCATACATAGTCAATACCAATGATTTTCCTCATTTATTTATGTCTGCAGTTGTTTTATATGTCCACAAATGGCTTGCATTTTGAGGCGGACAAATTCTGTTGAAACATTTTGAATGCTACATGAACACGCTCAATAAATGAAATATCAAGGCATTCGCTCCAGCTTTCTTGGTATTGATGTTTTTATTTAAACTTAAACAATTTGATTTTCCATTGTATCATGCATTTCGAAGACTCGTGCATGTAATACGACGAATATCTTTTACTCTATTATTGCGTCCGCTCTCTATAGAGGTACGTTAAGACACGAACCAACGACTCTCAATTCTATACAGGGATAACCAGATTCTATTTACGACTTTTGTGAATTATTCTATGGCAAGGTTATAACTATTGTAAAAACCTATTCGCGTTAATTCCATGACTCGTCTACATGGAAGGTTAAATCACGGTTTCATCATCAACCCAATCTTACTTGCTTCCAATTGCTCAATTAGTTTGGTTTGCTTCAACTCCATGCAGTAACATTGGTTATATAAGGACGGTGTCCAGGTTGGTGGGACTACTTACTCAGGGCAACATTAAATTGACACCACACTGGGAAAGCTGCACCGTGACATGATAACGCGAGAACTCCCACCAAGTTACTTTATTCTGATACCAAGCCAACCAGTCCTGATCTACATAAAATTGAACATTGACATCAAGAAGAGGGCAGTTAGTATAATTTTAGGAATATGAGTTGTCACGGTCAGTAGACAGAACCTTGAACCTTTCTCACTTTGGCGAACATTCAACATATATGCAAAAAGCGATAGGCTGTCACATAATGCACAAGAAAAAGAAGAAATATAAGATAAGGGAGAAATAGATTTATTCATGTGTTGCAACGGGTTTTAGCTGCTCTCGTGTAGTGTCACGAAGGAGAGAAAGAAAGATCGCCAATTCTGCAGGGAGTCTCCTCATTAGTAGCCTCTTATAATCTTGCAGTGGGTTTGAACAGGTTTCTTTTTTTACCAAACAGATCTAAACTGTTCATTCTGTAAACCCTACAGCTTATGAGACACGAAAAGTAAAAGTAATAAGTATTATTCAAAGTGAATGTAAAGGATGGTGACTGTCTTCAAAATCCACGAATTCTGCTCTGGATACACGTTACTTCTCTGCTGCACCATTGGAAAATGTCAAAGTGTATTGCTTGCAGTAAGCTATTGGATTGGTTTCAGGTACACAACCCTGACAAATCGCTAGGCTGATGCATGCCTTTTGAAGACTAAAGAGAAGATACAACAAACTTCGCAGCCTGTCGATCCTTTTGATCTCCCTCAAATACATCAGATAACATACGCAAAGTGTTGCAAAAAAACTTTGATTTTTTACCTCATGCCTATCCTTTCAGCTATCTTCATTTCGTCATCAATTATCATACTTTTGTCCGCCTTCTTCCGCGAGCTTGGTTACTTTTTTGTTTTCATTCCACAGTCAAACGTGCACGAATTTTTCCCTTTGAGAGACATTTAATTGGCAGGACAGACAAGCGATGTAATTTCAGGGAAAGTGAGTCAGTTTCCCGTAAATATCCAGCTATATCCCACTCTCCGTATCAAGGGCGTCCGCCAACATTGATGGGATCGGAATTGATTTGATGTGGATTTTGACCTACAAACAACTTCAAAGCAAGTCGATTTTACCGTTACTCTGCTGCGCTTATTCCTTGTAACTTCAATGAGAGCGTTGTTTCAAAAATGGCTAACAGTGATATAAATATATGGTTGTTAATTATCTTTTAGCATATTGTAAGGTTGAAATTAGGAGATTAATTTAAAAGAGCATATTAAATCGTAAATGATTTCCTAATTGACATCATCTCTCTGTTTACTGTGGTGGTAAGATATTTATACAGACTGATGGCATTCCCATTGGAAGCAACTGTGCTGCTCTCCTGACTGATTTGTTTTTGTTTTTACATGAGCCTGAATTAGCTGAAACAGCTTATCGGTAATGGTAACAAAAGTCTTTCACTGTCGTTCAACTTCATTTTCACATACATTGCCAAAATGCCGTGAATCTTAAAGCCAAGACAATGACACTAAAGACTCTTCTACAACCGCTGCCTACTGCGATCTTTCGAAAAGGGACGACTTAATTTTACCACATACAATACGGGTGACGATTTCAGTTTCTCAACCGTGAACTTTTCCTTTTTTGATAGGAACATTACAGCTTTCCCAAAACTTCGCATTTGATTCGTTATTCAAGAACTTGCTCTGAATATCAACATTGTCGTGATAGATGTTGACTGCTAAAAGATAAATGTACAACAAAAGAATAAAATAAGGAAATGCACACGAGTTGTAAAATTTTGTTCTACCCAGCACTGGTAGATGCGGGCGAACCGCCTGAAGGATCCCCTTTCGACTGCCAAAAACTATAACATTGATTTGGAAACAATTTTACAGGCATACAAAAATAGTTTCAAGTCATTTCTGAAAAGAAAACAATACACGAAGGAACTTTATATGAACAATTGAAGATAAAATATAGAAACAAATCAGACTGGGATTTAATCAATCGATTTCGGGACACAATACGTTCGCTATAACCATCTGGTTGCCTGGTCAACGGTAACTCAATGGTCAAGTCTCGCTCCACTTATTCCTCTGCCTTTGCTAGGCTGCGCACCGCTGTTTATCGTATCTTACCACCTGGCAATTTAGCAGGAATCTTCCATAGCCGCCCTCCAAGAACAGCTAAGCATATCATCTGCTTCCGATAGTCAAGCTAGCGATAGTCAGCATTTCAATTTCGGTCAGACACTTCTGCACCTCTTGATATGCACGTACCGTATTTGTCTAGGTGTTAGTCTCTGTTTACATCGGTGCCTGCCATTTTCTTGTCATGTTCAGTTGACTGAAACGGTTGAGCCGAATACACGAAAGGGACCCAAATACTTCGATTTCACGTCGTAGTCCTTCTCATCTTCCTAACATGAATATATGAGTGTTCGTTCTTTGCGATGCCTCCATTTTATATACATTGGACGAGCGCCCTCCTGCAAGGTGAGAGGATATGATCCATGTTTCCTATTCCCTTGTATAGCTGACACTTTGAATTTTCCATCAATGACCACAATCATATGAAGGTTCACCGACGATGTTAAGTAAGATTTCATATTCCAACCAGAGTAGAAACGGAACCTTCTATGGTTCGAAGAACTTAAGCTCACCATTGCTAGTCATCAAAGGGTCACGCTCTCGAAATATCTGACTTCTTTACACCGTTGGAAAACGTCATGACAGAATCCAGACACTCGGTTAGCCGTTTGAATGGTTTCGGGGAGAAAAGGGACCAGTCGTTAGGCTCATATCTGTCATTAGAAGATTTCTGATGAACAACGCTCGACTTCAAAACAAGTTAACCGGAGGCTCACTTGGCGGAGGTCATTTTAGAAGGGTCGATTTTACGAAACGTCATGTTAATCCTAATTCCCGACAAGGCCTTGCGTTGTGGAAGAGAATGGTACCAGTACGTATTAGTTGGATGATTCATCATTAGCAGACATCCATGCTCAAGTTTAATTGTCACGGGTGCAATCTGCCGTGTCGCATTCTTTCCTCTTGCTTTTGCATGTTTGAAAACAAAGTCTCGTGGTTGTCCTAGCGACAGTGACGCAATAGGATGGCCATGCACGAGATCTTGTTCGTCATCTCTGTGTTCCCCAATATAGTCCTGTCCGTCCTTATACCTGCCAAACAGACAAAACGGATTGCCTAATTTAGAGTATACAACAAACATGACTTATAATAAGAACCAGCTTTGATATTTTCCCATTTGACTGGAAAATAGGTAATTTACTTTCATGAAATAGTTAACGACCTGTTCCAGTCAAACATACATGTAAATGAACGACTTCCACTACACTGAAATCAAACATGATTTAATGCAGGTATACGTAACTTTCGTACAGCAACATATAAAATATCTACACAGACGCCTTACCATCACCTGTCAGTCTCTAGATTTCTCTTAATCCATCACCCTATACCCATACATCTATTTCACAACTTTCGGTGTGTCGGTATTTTTTGTATTTGGGAACTGATTAGGAATTTCTCGTTCCTCATTACAAACACGATATAACCGATTCCAATTCGCTTTTTCGGGAAATAATATTTCTGAGTCCTATTGGTGATTGTGGTAAAGACAGCGAATCAAGCTCACACCTATTTTGGTTTAATCATACAATATATCGACATTCATGTATTTTGTACGTGATCTACCAACAGAATCCGTAATCAGTTACTTTACGAATCTATCGAAGCAACAGACCTGTTAATCAGCACGAAGTTGAAGGTGAACCCGGATGCAGCAGCGACGCGGTCCCGGATGTTCTTCAATAATGGCGTCCATGGTGTAGCAGCTACGGTTTTTCCGGAGTAACTGTACGTCAAACCATCATCGCCATGTGCGGTCTGTTGACGTAGAACAAACATCATGTATTCATATAGATATATATATAATTTATATGTATCTTAATATGTTTTATGGCCCGGCCGTTAGTGAGGGCGGAGCCAGGTTGTACTGTAAATGTTTCGGAATATCGGTATTGTAAACTTTCAAGCATTGAGTGATGTGTTGAATGACTAAATCAGACCTACATGTATAGCTAAACAGTGTATATTACAGTTAAGTTTCCTTTCTTGATTTCTTTTTGGCTGACAAGATGTTTGATATCTTGAAGTTTTCCGCCTAGGCGTATGATGACATGACATTAATGTGAGAATGCGAAAGGTTCATTAGACTCTATATAAGTATTTAAATTTGCACCTCTTGAATCCATTGCAAAAATCAAGTGCAGCATATTCTACAAAGACATTGAAATAAAACATATTAGGATGGATATTGTTAATCATGTATAATAGCATAG